TAGATGATAGGAATTTTCAGCTCCATTATCATCTTATGTATTCACTGTTGTATGCACAGTCCATTGTTGACTGAAATGTCATTATCACCGCTGGATTTGATGACTGCTCAGGGGCCTCCCAAAACCTGTGGAGTGGTGGGAAAGAGCACTGCTCCTCCATGGGGAACTGCTGTTGTCCGGGTTGTCGGATCCCTGTCACCTGTATTCTCAAGGGCAAGCAGAAGTGTTTTTTTGTTTTTTTTTTTTTTATTCAGTTTACCTAAATGGCTCTGGGCTAAGAGATGCTTCCAGAAGTTGTGTTAAAGAGGGCGCACAGTGAAATTAATATTTGATAGATCTGAATCAAAGAGAGAGATGAAGGAAGTAGTTGATAGTGGCCACTGAGACGTAAAGAATGTCTCTAGAACCTAAGGAAGCAGGCTACTTGGGTGGGGAATTGATGTTTGAACTCTGTAAGGAGGTAAGAACAGGAGAGGTCACAGCTCTGCCCAAGATCAAACAAAATTTGAGGCTTTTCACGGCCTTTTTTAAAAACAGGCTCTCACTCTGTTGCCCAGGCTGGAGTTCAGTGGCGCCATCACAGAACAGCAGCCTCAACCTCTTGGACTCAAGTGATCCTCCTGCCTCAGCCTTCTTTCTGAATAGCTGGGACTTCAGGCATGTACCACCATGCCCAGCCACTTTTATTATTTTGTTGAGATAGGGTCTCCCTATGTTGCCTAGGCTGGTCTTTAACTCCTGGCCTCAAGCAGTTCTCCCACGTCGGTCTCCAAATGCTGAGATTATAGGCATGTCACCATTGCAACTTATCCACTTTGTGATGATTTAAATAAGTTGTACTAGGCTGGGCGTGTTGGCTTGTGCCTGTAATTCCAGCACTTTGGGAGGCCGAGGAGGATGGATTACCTGAGGTCAGGAGTTCAAGACCAGACTGGTCAACATGGTGAAACCCCATCTCTACTAAAAATACAAAAATTAGCCAGGCATGGTGGCAGACACCTGTAATCCCTGCTACTCAAGAGGCAGATGCAGATGAATCACTTAAACCCAGGAGATGGAGGCTGCAGTGAACCGAGAGGGCGCCAGCCTGGGCAATAGAGCAGGACTGTCTCCAAAAAAAAAAAAGTTGTACTTGAGGCCAAGCATGGTGGCTCATGCCTATAATCCCAGCACTTTGGGAAGCCAAGGCAGGTGGATTACTTGAGGTCAGGAGTTTGAGACCAGCCTGGCCAACATGGCGAAACCCTGTCTCACTAAAAATACAAAAGTTAGCTGGACATAGTGGTATGCTCTTGTAATTCCAGCTGTTCAGGAGGCTCATTCAGGAGAATCACTTGAACCTGGGAGGTAGAGGTTGCAGTGAGCCAAGATTGTACCACTGCACTCCAGTCTAGGCAACAGAGAAAGACTGCCTCTCAAGAAAATAAGGAAGTTGTACAAGTTTCTAGGGTCATTGAGAGGCAGAGCAGTTAAGCAGGGACACTTGTGGGTGCTTCACTGCTTAGGGTGCTCATTGGGACTCCCAAGGCCACAAGGAGCAGGCCAGGGCTGCCAGCCATCTGTGATGGGGCAAGGGAAAGGGCAGCTTTCTTAATTATAGTTCCATCAGGCTCTGTCCCATGCCCAGTCCCGTGGCATGGGAGCAGGTGATGGTGCAACACTCTGGTTGAGCCAGTTGCCATCTAGGGTAGTGGCTGTGGTGATTGATTCTTTGTGCCACCGTCATTGTCATGTAGGTCAAGGGGGAGCTCTAGGAGTCTATGAACTCTGAAATGGCTTTGAACTTGTGGGTCTTCGGGCAAGGAGAGCTGCTTTGAGGGATGAAGGGCTAAAATTTGATGGGCTGCTCATTTTCACTGAAAGCTATATTCCTTCTTCTGTATAAAATTAAAACCTTGAGGTCTCAGGATGTTGAGGGTTGGCAGAGGCAGAATCACTGTGCAGCTCTGTGAGCTTGTTCCCCAGGCATTGTACCAAACACAGCTTGAGTTCCAACCTCTGTTAGAACTCAACTGCCTTAAAACACCAGCTCCTCTAGCAAGGCTTCCCAGGCATCTCAGCCAAGAGAGACTGCCTAGAGCCTCATCTTAAGACTCCTTCTTGGCATTTATGACCTCATTAAGTTGGGTCCTATCTCAAGGTCAGGGCCCATGTGCTTGGTCATTTTTGAAGGTCTCATACTCAGCCTCTAATATGGTTTAAGTTAAGAGAAACATAATTGCCAGGAGGGGAGATATGTGTAACTGAGTCTGTCATTACTTACTGTGGCCTCTGCTTAAGAGTAAAGTGGCAGTCTCCTTGCTCACAGGGAGCCTTGGGTCTCTGGCCCACTGTGGGAACTCCTGTCCTCTGGAGTGGACAGGACTAAAGGGCCTTTTCAAAAGGTCCCTGCTCATCCCTGGCAGATCTCAGAAGCCTCAGGGTATGTAAAAAAGGGTCACCCCTCTGGTGGATTTCTCCAAGGGCTGGCTGGGTTAGTCTGAGGTGGAAGGTGAGAGATAATGGCATAAATGTAGTAGCTGTTGGCATGTGATTCATCTCTTCTGAGGCTCCAGAAGCTGATGTCAGGCAGTGGGGTTTCGGATTGATGAGGAGATCTCCTTAAAGTGGGGTTGAGGTGCAATTTAAGTCCCCTCTGTGTGCCAGCTTCCCTGGAGCCTCCCTGCCTCATGGGGCTCTGCTGGCTCTCACTCTGTTTGTGGCAGCAAGGCCCCGTAACCTCTTGGCTTTGTGAGCTGGGCCTTTAGGATCCAGAGGGATGGCAGTATTGCAGCTCCCATCCCGGGGGATTCTGTGCTGATGCCTGGGCTCTAGCAGGACTAGGTCCCTCCCTGGGAGAACTGAAGGCAGAGAGACTCCTGTTTGGACTCCTGATTGGCTAAGGCAGCCCTCAACCCAGCAGGAAATAGGGTCTTCTCCTCTTTCTAGCAAAGGGAGATGACGAGATTCTAGCTTTCCATTCCAGATCAACCATTTACCCATTTTGCCTTTGGGCCTGGCTGGGCAGAGGAAATTGTGGTTTGATTTTTCTCAGTCTATGGCAGGTGCCATTAGGAGTTTCAATTTCTATTGATTACCTGTTAGTGGTCTTGCTTATCAGTACCCAGGTCGATTATGAAATTTGATGACACTTATCCTTGTCCCTTTAATTTCTTTTTTCTTTTTTTTTTTTGAGACGGAGTTTCGCTCTTGTTACCCAGGCTGGAGTGCAATGGCGCCATCTCGGCTCACCGCAACCTCCGCCTCCTGGGTTCAGGCAATTCTCCTGCCTCAGCCTCCTGAGTAGCTGGGATTACAGGCACGCGCCACCATGCCCAGCTAAGTTTTTGTATTTTTAGTAGAGACGGGGTTTCACCGTGTTGACCAGGATGGTCTCGATCTCTTGACCTCGTGATCCACCCGCCTCGGCCTCCCAAAGTGCTGGGATTACAGGCGTGAGCCACCGCACCCGGCCTGTCCCTTTAATTTCTAAAGTTTTTTTTTTTTTTTTCCCTTGCAAATAACTAACGGGGAGATACTTGGATAACTTCTTGAAAAACAAGGTGCAGCTAAGAAAGGTTTTTAATACCTTACAAGTCCTTGTAGATGTGTCTGGGGCCTCTTTTTTAGTTGAGGCTAAAGCTCCTCTGTAAGGATGCAGTCAGCACAGATTGGCACCAGGACTGGCTGCTCAGTTCTAGAGCCTTCAGCCTGCTGCTCTGTGGTTTCTGGTTTTCTGGACAAGGAGGACAACACTTCTGCCCTGATGTTAGGCTGTCATGTGTTGACTTTATTTGTAGGTGTGTGTCTCATCTCTCCTTCAGTTGTTTTGCTCCAGCCTCAGGGAGCCTACTCTTAACGTTTTTTCCAGATGGAGCAAGGCTTATCATGAGATGATGCCACGATCTCCCCTATGCTTCAGGGCCTTCTGGCTCCGACAGCCCTTGCATTTTACCCTGAGTCTAGAGGGCTTTTTCGTGTCTGCATCTGACCTCTGGAAGTCCTACCTTTTTCCCTGCTCAGTCCTTATCTGATTTATTTTAGGCACTCAGGGAAAACACCCTAATCAGCTGCTGGTGGCTGAGATCCAAGAGAAAGTTGGCTTCCTCTTTAGTGGGTACATCAGGGTTGGGGCTCTTTGGCAGCCCCCCAAATACCTTTTCAGGGGGTGGTGGCTTGCATAGTCTTTGCCTTCTTTTTTTTTTTTTTTGAAACAAAGTCTCACTCTTGCCCAGGCTCGAGTGCAGTGGCATGATTTTGGTTTACGACAACCTCCTCCCAGGTTCAAGCGATTCTTGTGCCTCAGCCTCCCTAGTATCTAGGATTACAGGTGCTTGCCACCACACCTGGCTAATTTTTATATTTTTAGTAGAGACGGGGTTTCACCATGTTGGCCAGGCTGGTCTCAAATTCCTGACCTTAGATCATCTACCCACCTAGGCCTCCCAAAGTGCTAGGATTACAGGCATGAGTCACCACACCCGGCCCGTTTTCCCCTTCTTGCTTCCAGCTGCAAAGTGGTTCCTGTCACTTCTCCCCACATCTTAAGTTTCCAAGGTTACCAAGGTCTACTCCTTTTGGGATTTAAAACGGTTTGGTTTTTGACTCAGGCCAGAGGCCATGCATTTGTGAAACAGACTGTGGATGTGTGTGGCTGCCCATGGCCTGAGGCTGTACCCACACGTTGGTTCTGGCAAGTGTCTTTGATAAGGCAAAATGAGCAGGGGCTTCTCACATTTGCCCTGACTGTCACAGGGCCCAGTTGGTTGGCTATTCTTTCCTACCTGGTTCACTTTCCCAGCCCTTAGTTCTCATAGGAAGCTTTCTCTCAAATGATGGTTTCTGCTGGGCATGGTGGCTCATACCTCTAATTCCAGCACTTTGAGTGGCTGATGTGGGTGGATCACTTGAAGGCAGGGTTTGAGACCAGTCTCGGCAGCATGGCAAAACCCCATCTCTACTAAAAATACAAAAAAAGTTACGTGGGAGAATTGCTTGAGCCCAGGAGATGGAGGTTGCAGTGAGCCAAGACTAAGCCACTGCACTCTAGCCTGGATGACAGTGAGACTCTGTCTCAAAATTTTTTTAAAAATTCTGCCTTTAGGCCGGGCGCGGTGGCTCACGCCTGTAATCCCAGCACTTTGGGAGGCCGAGGCGGGTGGATCACGAGGCCAAGAGATTGAGACCATCCTGGTCAACATGGTGAAACCCCGTCTCTNTATGGTAGCAGTAGTGAGAAGTAGCCATAATTTTCATTCTTTGAATACAGAGCTTATAGGATTTTCTAACAGGTTGCTTGTAGGCTCTGAGGAAAATAAGCAGTAAAAATTAATTTATGCCGGGCGCGGTGGTTCAAGCCTGTAATCCCAGCACTTTGGGAGGCCGAGGCGGGTGGATCACGAGGCCAAGAGATTGAGACCATCCTGGTCAACATGGTGAAACCCCGTCTCTACTAAAACTACAAAAAATTAGCTGGGCATGGTGGCTCATGTCTGCAGTCCCAGCTACTCAGGAGGCTGAGGCAGGAGAATTGCCTGAACCCAGGAGGCGGAGGTTGCGGTGAGCCGAGATTGCGGTGAGCCGAGATTGCGCCATTGCACTCCAGCCTGGGTAACAAGAGCAAAACTCCGTCTCAAAAAAAAAAAAAAAAAAAAATTCTGCCTTTAAGAGGTAGGAATGATTGTCCGGGTGCAATGGTTCATGCCTGTAATCCCAGCACTTTGGGAGGCCGAGGCGGGCGGATCATGAGGTCAAGAGATCGAGACCATTGTGGCCAACATGGTGAAACCCCGTCTCTACTAAAAATACAAAAATTAGCTGGGCATGGTGGGGCGCGCCTGTAGTCCCAGCTACTCGGGAGGCTGAGGCAGAAGAATTGCTTGAACCCGGGAGGTGGAGGTTGCAGTGAGCCGAGATCGCGCCACTGCAATCCAGCCTGGCGCCTGGCAACAGAGTGAGACTGTCTGGTGAAGAAAAAAAAAAAGGTAGGAATGATTATGATTTGGTGCTTTGGACAGTGCCATGTAGAGTACTTCTTTGGGGGTAAGGGAGGTAAGGGATAGATCCTAGGGGCTCCAAGCTGAATAACCATCTTCCTTATTGTTCCTTACATTTCTATTCCAGTTACACAACAGCCAATGCGGAGTCTGACAATGAGCGGGACTCTGACAAAGAGAGTGAGGATGGGGAAGATGAAGCAAGCTGTGAGACTGTGAAGATGGGGAGAAAGGATTCTCTGGACCTGGAGGTAGAGGCATCTTCAGGTCTGGTGCCCAGTGCGCTAGAGAATGGAGCTTCCTCAGGCTTGGAGGATGTGCTGCCCCTCCTGCAGCAGGCGGATGAGATGCACCAGGGTGATGAGCATGGCAAGCGGGAGGGCTTCCAGCTGCTGCTCAACAACAAGCTGGCGGTGAGGCTCCAACTGCCTGCCTGATTCTCCTTCCCTCCCCCTCATCCCTCTGCTCCTGAACCCTGGGGAATGAATGCCCATGTGGTTACTGCCCCCACAAGGTGTCATGGGGGAAGAAATGAGGGTAAGACGGCAGGTTCTGCATCTGTTGCCCAGGTAGCATATCCTCTTCCGACAAGGCCCAGTGTGGACCCTAGGGCCAGTGTACTGTTTGCTCCAGAGCTGAGGGGGTCAGGGGAGCACAGTCCTCTGTCTCCTGTAGAGCTACTGCAGAAAAAGCTCTACCTCTTACCTCTAGGGGGAAATGTGAAAAGAAATGGATTTTGTTTTTCTCCTCTTTTCCCTTGGTGCAGAGTTCGAGCTGCCAGCCCCAAGTGACCACTGTGTAGGTCACTCAACCACAATTCTCTTCTCAGGTTCCCTGACAAAAGTTATGTCCACCCAGGTATAACCGACCTCCCCCCCACCCCCCGCCCGCCCACTGGAAGTTGAAAATCTCCCTTTTCCTTTCACACTTTCTTCATTTGTCAGCAAAAGACCTCTCATCCTTTATGACATCTTCTTAGAGTTGACCTTTCCTCCTGGCAGTTTGAGGAGGCCAGAATGCCCTAACCCTGTGATTGTGCAACCCACTAGCTAGAGAGAGAATGTGTCCTACATTAACTGCACGTGGGAAGGGATGACTAGGGGATGGCTGTGCATAGGAGCTGGCCTGATGCTGGTGATTGTAACGTATTAGCTTGCATATTCAAACCTAGGATGTGGGGGAAGGCCAGGGCCTCCATTCTCCACAGCTGAGGATAAAGGGGCCTTACCTGTTTCTGTCTGGTCTGCAGTATGGAAGCCGGCAGGACTTTCTCTGGCGCCTGGCCCGGGCCTACAGTGACATGTGTGAGCTCACTGAGGAGGTGAGCGAGAAGAAGTCATATGCCTTAGATGGTAAGTGCTGACAGCTTCCTGTGGGAAGATGACTGACTGATTCAGGGGTGGGGCTGGCCCATCGGCCTGGGGCCCTGGAGAACCACCAAGATGCTGTCAGAGCAGTTGTGGCTCAGTTACCCATTAGGGACAAACTCTGGCTCCCAAAGACCCTTGCTTTGTCCTCTGGAGGAAGAGAGTAGTCCTTGCTTATCCATCATCATGATTAGTAACACAGGCGCATATATTTTTAGGAGTAGTTGCATCCTATCAGTGTTACTTGTTTTTCTCACTGTCTTGCCACAGAGGGCAAAATCTTTCTTGACGAGGTTTTTTGCAGCTGCTAGGAATCTTGTGTTGGTTATGGAGCCTGTGGGGCAGGTGTTCTAAGAACATAGCTAGCTTAGAAGACTCTGGAATCCACTTGGCAAGTCTGTTGGCAAAGGCTCCACCTTGGAGAATAGGGTGCATCTGATCTGTGCCAGGCTCATGGCTCAGCCTTGGCTATCATGAGTTCAGAGAATCCTTGGACTTTAGAAAGAGACTGATGTGTCCTGCTGAACTCCACAAATTGAGTGAGGTGCCATTAATGGGTTTCTAGGTCTGTGTGGTTCAGTTAATATCTTTTTTTTTTTTTTTTTTTTTTTTTTAAAAGCAGTCTCACCCCGTCACCCAGGCTGGAGTTCAGTGGTGTGATCTCAGCTCACTGCAACCTCCGCCTCCCAGGCTCAAGCAATTCTCTTGCCTCAGCCAACCCAGTAGCTGGGATTACAAACATGTGCCACCATGCCCAGCTAGTTTTTGTATTTTTAGTAGAAACAGTTTCACCATGTTCGCCACACTGGTCTTAAACTCCTGGCCCCAAGTGATCTGCCCACCTAGGCCTCCCAAAGTGCTGGGATAACAGGCATAAGCCACCGTGCCCAGCAGGTTCAGTTAACTGTCTAAAACGGATTTGTCCACCTTTCTATTATAAGTACAGCCCTACAAATATGAATTGTTGATAATGTAGACTCTAACAATAGCTCAAGGTTAACATTCTAAACATTTGTAGAATTCTGTTGATGGAGAAAGAACAGACCAGTTGAGTAGGATGTTTCTGAAGCTCCTCAGAAAAATTCCTGTAAGTTTTAACAAAAGATGCTTAATTACAATTACTTTCTCTTCAAGTTTCTATTTTCCCTTCTGAATTTCAGGTGAGGATTCTCAATCAGCTTTTGGGCTGATTTTTGGACTCTTCATGTCAACACCTTTCCTTTCCCTCTTGATCACTGATCATCTCTTATTAATGCTAGTAGCCAGCATGAACCCCAAAGGCACAAGTGAAGGCAGTGGTTAGAGGTGCAGCACTTGGGTTAGTCTGGCCTCCTCAGCTTAGCACCAATGGGCAAATCTTTACCTGCTGGAGGTGAGATGATGATGGAATGTCTTTGAAGGTTGTGCTCTGAGATCACAGCCTTTACCAATCATCCTTACTGGGTATAAAGTTTTTTTCATTGTATCTCTAGAAGCTGGACCACCAGGAGGTAGTCATTCTGTGGGGTCTCAGGTAATGTCTTGTCTGTAACAGGCTGTCTAGCTTGGCAGGAACATTCTTCCATTTGGGAAGGGATGTAGAGTCCTTTGCATCAGTTTTCTTTTCTTTTCTTTCTTTTTTTCTGAGATGGAATCTCACTCTGTCACCCAGGCGGGGGTGCAGTGGCATGATCACTACACCTTCTCACTGCAACTTCTGCCTCCTGGTTTCAAGCAATTCTCCTGCCTCAACCTCCTGAATAGCTGGGATTACAGACGCGCGCCACCATGCCCTGCTAATTTTTGTTTTGTTAGTAGAGACGGGGTTTCACCGTGTTAGCTAGACTGGTTTTGAACTCCTGACCTCATGATCTGCCCACCTTGGTCTCCCAAAGTGCTGGGATTACAGGCCTGAGCCACCATGCCCAGCCAGTTGTCTTAAAAATGGATTTGTGGCCAGGCGTGGTCGCTCATGCCTTGTAATCTCACCACTTTGGGAAGCCAAGGCAAGAGGATTGCTTGAGCCCAGCTGTTCAAGACCAACCTGGGCAACATAGTGAGACCTTGTCTCTATAAACACAACAAAACAAAACAAAACCCTTAAAAAATTTGCCAGGCATGGTGGAACATGCCGGCAGGGGGATTGTTTCAGCCCAGGAAGCAGAGATTGCAGCAAGCTTAGGTTGTGCCACTGTACTCCAACTTGGGCGACAGAGCAAGACACTGTCTCAAAAAATAAAAAGGTAAAACATTTCAGATTAGCCAATTGACATTTGTTCCATTTCTCCGTGTTCCCTTCCAAGCCATCTGTTTTCTTCAAAGAAGTCTTGGCCAGGTACAGTGGCTCATGCCTGTAACCCCAGCACTTTGGGAGGCTGAGGTGGGAAGATGGCATCAAGCCAGGAGTTCAAAGCCAGCCTGCGCAAGATAGACCTCACCTTGTAAGAAAAACTAACTGGGTGTGGTGGTGCACATCTATAGTCCTAGCTCCTTGGGAAGCTAAGGCTAGAGGATTGCTTGAACTAGGAGTTCAAGACTGCAGTGAGCCATGATTGCAGCACTGCATTCCAGCCTGGGTGACAGAGTGAGACCCTAACTCTTTAAAAAAAAAAAAAAAAAAATCCTATTTTGCAGTGTCTTCTCCAGTGTGTAGGCATGATGGTCCTTATCTGGAGGTCCTAGGCTCAAGCCTCGATATTGGTGACGTTTGTCATAACTTCATGTGTCTGGGCTTTCTTTGTTAGACCACTAACCTAGAAAACGTGGGGAAGACTAAGTGAAAGTCATCTCTGGTCAGACCTCAATCCACGTGGCTCTTATGAAAGAGTTTTGGCCTAGAGCTAATTAATATTCTTGGATCATGGATCTTTCTGAGGATTTTTTTTTTTTTCTTTTTTAAATAAGAGACAGGGGTCTGGCTGTTTCCCAGATTGGTGTTGAAATTTTGGTCTCAAGCTATGCTCTCTCCTTGGCCTCTCAAAGCTCTAATTGTGAGCCAATGTACCTATCCCCTTTGGAGAATTTTATCAAAGCTGTGAACCGTCTCAGGTAAAATTTTATACAACTTGAGATTCATAGACACTGCCCCTCTAGAGTAAGGTCTGTTGGGGACAGTTTCTGATTGTGTTGGATCCTTTCTTTGTGTGTGTGGGGGGGGGGGGGGGGGGCGGAGTTTCACTCTGTCGCTAGGATCCAGTGCATGCGCCACCACACCCAATTTGTGTGTGTGTGTGTGTGTGTGTGTGTGTGTGTCAGTTATGCTCCAGCCTGGGCAACAAGAGCAAAATACCATGATCTTGGCTGACTGCACCCTCGTCCTCCGGGGTTCAAGCGATTCTCCTGCCCCAACCTCCAGAGTAGCTGGGATTACAGGCGCCCACACCATGCCCAACTCATTTTTGTATTTTTAGTAGAGAAGGGGGTTTCATCATGTTGAGTAGGCTGGTCTCGAACTCCTGACCTCAAGTGATCCACCCACCTCAGCCTCCCAAAGTGCTCGGATTACACACATGAGCTACCATGCCTGGCCTGTTTGCAGCCTTTCATTCTGCTTAAGTTCACAACTATTTCCAAGCAAGTCCAAGTTGGGTAGGGACTGGTGAGAGCTAAAGCAGTTATTCTTCCCACAAGGCTTCATATGAAAATTAGCATAAGAGCTCATGTTAACTCTGGATCTACTTTTGTCCTACAGGAAAAGAAGAAGCAGAGGCTGCGCTAGAGAAGGGGGAGGAGAGCGCTGACTGCCACCTGTGGTAATAACACCCTGCAGTGTTTTGGGAAGAGCCAGCAAGCGCTATGGCAGAGCAAAGCCCTCTTTTCTGTGCCTGGGCCACAGAGGCATTTTCCAAAGGATCCAGGAGAGGGAGCTCTGGCTTGTATTTCCACATACCTCAGTCTACCCCTAGTCAGAGACAACAGAAGTTTCTGGTGAGGGAGGTGACTTGGGAATGAGGCAAGGTGGGGGAGTGCAAGCTTTTTTCTGATGGAATTTGGATAAATGAATAGCTTTGTAAGAGTCATCCTAGCTACAAAACTGAAGTTCCTGGCTCTCGGGAGGCTGGGACAACCTGCAGCTGCCCTATGCCGCACAAGCTTTTCTTGCCCCTGTGTGTGATCCCTGGCTGGTGGTACTTTGGCTTCTTTGCTTGGTTTGCATGAAGAAAAGTAGATGTGAGCTCACCTCTTGGGAGTTCATTGGTCAACTTATTAGGTTAAAAAAACATCAGCCCTTTTTGTGGTCTCATGTGATGGAAAGTTTGGTCATCTTACCCGGGTCAGAGCAAACTCAGGTCCTGGGGTCTGGTTTCCTGGGGTCTGGTTCCAGCACCTGAGTTTCAGTGAAAATGTTCCTTTCCCACCGCCATCCTTGCTTTCTATATCTCCACCCTCAGATTGTGAGCTAAGTGAGAGGCTGTCTTTCTCCATCTGTTGCTGAAACTTTTGTCTCTGCAGGGGTTCTTCTCAGAGGCCAGGTAACTGTTTCTTGGGTGTCATTGCTTCCCTGGGCTTCTAAGGATGAAAGTTGGCCCCACACTTTCTTAGCTATTCCTGAGGAACAGCTGTTGGGATTAAACATGGAAATGAGCCTCTAGAAGTGTCTGATATCCCACAGATACTTAGCATATACGTGAAAAAGCAACTTGGGCTGGTTTACTCATCTAATGTCAACTGTGCTGCTAGGAACAATGCTGGGGGGATAGGGGAGGAAGAGTTTGTTTCTGAGGATAGAAGATGGGAAGCTGGCTAGTTGGCTCTCCTTGGGAGGGGGGGGGATGTGGGGGAAAGGGCAAACATAGGTCTTTCTTCCTCTGGTTGTTGGTCCCCAAGTTAACATTAGAAATTTCTAGAACATCCCCTTCCAATGTAACTATCCTAAGAAATTGCTTCCCAAGTCCCAGTGCTACATCTGTAGGTGTTTTTTTTTTTTTTTTTTTTTTTTTTTTTTTTT